CAACAAACAATAATATGCCCATAGAATGAGTGTAAAGAAGATGAAGATGTTGAGATGGATGAATGACAAGACAAGAATAGATAGAATTCAAAATGAATCAATTTGAGAAAATTTAGGTGTGGCACCAATAGGCAATAAGATGAGAGATAGTAGATGGGTTGGCCATATGTGATGTCGACCCAGTACAACACCTATTAGGAGAAGTGAGTTAGTTCAAATGGAATGATTGAAAAGAGCAAAGGATAGGACAAAAAAGATGTGGTTAGAAGTAATCCGAAAAGATATGGGGACTTTGGCTTCACTGAGGGTATGGACCAAGAGCAGAATAGAGGATCAAAATTTGTGTAACCAACCCCAATTAATTGGAAAAAAGATGTGATGATGATGATAATGATAATTTTTGAAGCACCTCATAGTTATACCACTTCAATATTGTGATCCTTCAAAAAATTAACACCAGATAAACTTTGGATGAATATGACTAAATATTTGAAGTTGAAATGAATGTTGTGTAACTATCTTTTTTCATTCGTTTGTTGATCTATATTGGTTTGTTGTTGGAAGATTTTAATGTAAATTTGCATTGGAGATCTTAAAATCTGATGTCTTTTGTTTCTATGTTTATGAGACGGGTGCGGTTTGTATAGAGCCTAGGTTCTAAATAATCAAATTAGAGTCTACTTTCAAATAGTGTCGAGAAATGTGGTTTCAATATTGGAAATCTTTGTGATAGACTTAAAATATATTTTTTATATTTATTTATAAAGTTTAAAGTTTCAAAAATAGTGTAGATCGACAAATCTATGAAAATTTAAAAATCTTGAAACTTGATGGTCCAATACTGCGTTACAAAATACACTATTTCCAAAACTTGAAATCTATTTTTTTATGATGTCCATGCATCTTGATGTCGAGATGATCAATTTGAAGATATTTAGACATCAAAACAACCTCTTTTAGAGGAATTTTTGATATAGGCTCAAATTTGATAGTTTAGAGCTCGGTTCTATATAAACTTTTCCCTTGACGGATTCACTAAAAGTTACCCTTTGGGATGTTTCCATTTGATGTGATGCTTCATTCTTTGTATGCATTATCATTTTACCTATGTTATAAACTCATTGAAACTTGTTAGTCTTGTTAATATGAAATTGCCTATAATTTGCATTGTTTATTTGAAAATTTAAAGCGAGGAAATTTCAAATGCACGTAGACCTCAGTAGGAGTCGAGTACCCAAGTTATTGTTCCAAAACTTCATCAACACTTTTTTTGAACTTGCATCGAAGTTATCCCTTCTTGCAATATTAGAATCTCAAATAATTTCCATGGATACTGTTAAGTGTTTAGACCTCCAAATAAGAGGTTCGGGTGTTTAAAACACACTTATATCATTCTTTGAGCTTAAACAATATTAGAATTTCTAAGGACTAGACTCGAACAGATGGGTGGTTCACCATTTATTTTATTGGAAAATGCTTTGATAGGGTTGCTGCCCTATCAAAATAAGTAAGGCCTCACTTTGAAACTCACCAAGAATTGCAGTTTTGCCATAAAAAAAAAACAAATTCCTTCCAATCGATCATCTCAGCCTTGACTATTATGATTATGAAAAAAATTTAATATTTCAAGCCCTAAAAATAGTGCATAATGCAACACATTATCTAAACCGTATAAATAAGTGTTCATCTGTACTATTTTTTGAGCTTCAAATCTCATAGTCGATATTGAAAATTGAGTTTAAAGGCACCATAGAGATTTTAGATGCCCAAAGTGCTTTCTGAATGAGGATTCAAAGTAAAGCCTCACTTTGAATTCATCAAACAAATATTCATATAAGTAAAGCCTCACTTTGAAACCTCATTCAGAAAGCACTTTGCGACGACCAATCTGGAAAAACCAAAGTGTCAAATTCAATTTGCGACGACCAATCTGGATAGCTGAATCGGCCGAGTCACCAATCTGGAACACTGAATCGATCGTGTCCAATCTAGACAAGATCAACTGAGATAGATCGGAATCAATGGGTCACCAGACTAACTTCTGGAATACTGGTTTGCAAAAACAATAGAGCTTTACAAATTACAACGTATCACAATCTATTTCTTATGGCCAGTTCCGGTTTTGGTGACCGGCGGATATTTA